AAAAAAAATGATGTTGATGGAAAAATAACATCACATGTGACAATATCCTCATATAAAAAATAAATAAATAAATAGATAAATGAATAAAATATCGATGGTAAGGTACATTGTAACCTATTTACTTTTCATCGATTATCATTTTCTTAAATACTTGCACATAGTCTAGTGCGATGCACGGGTTGATATATTTTCCTGAAATATTTAGCGTGTGAAATACTAAAATTAATATAATTTATATATATGTAAAAAAAATAAATGGATAGCAAAGAAGGTAAAAAAAATTATAAATCACTTTCTTAAGTAAAATTTGTGAAGCTTTTATATATTTGATTATCAATAGAAAAGTATGAAATACTACCTGCGGACGTTTGAGATAGATAAAGAAAATTTATATAGAATATATAAAATAAATATTGAGATAATAATTTACGCATTGTATATAAAATAGAATATATAAAATAAATATTGAGATGATGATTAACGTAGTATATATAAAGGAAATATTGACATGCTGTGATAAAATTATGACGAATTACGACAGAAATTCGTTAAAAGTTGAGTACAAAAGATTTTAAAAATTAAATTTTTTTGACAATGAAATAAATTCCTTTAAAAGTTGAGTACAATATATTTCAAAATTTAGGTTTTTTATTTAAATCTTTACTGTAAAAATATTTTTACACACTTTTGTCATGGATTTATCAATTTTACTCGTACAAATCAAAATTAATGCAAACCATTTATCAATTTTACTCCTACAAATCAAAATTAATGCAAAACAAATTATTGTATAACAAATAAAATGAATTTTGTTTATCAAAGATTTGGTATATTGGCGGAAAATTCTTTATAAATCTCTTTTTATGCATATAGATATTAACAATACCTAAAAAAATCTTATATCACATATGTAAAATCTATCTAAAATATTATATATTATGCTTGTAAAATCTCTTTTTAAACTATACTTTCATTCATTTAACTTTGTAATTTATGTATGTTGTATTAAATAATAAGAAAAAGTTTCCATACATTGTTTTTTTTATGCTTGGCATCTAGCTAAAGATGTAATTCGAGTTGAGCCAAGCCGAATATCTCATGCATGTTCTAACTTGTGATTATCTAATAAACAAACTTGATTATATTTATATTTATATATTCGAGCTTAGCCTTTGAGTATATGAAATAATTGAGTTCGAGCTTTCACGAGTCGAAATGATTTGGGTTTGTGAATAATTTGATTAGAATAATAGCTCAATATTAAGTAGCCCCAAGTAACAAAAAAAAAATAAAAAAATCCTGGCTACGCCCCTACGCTAGACATGGCCAGTCAACGGGTTCGGGCCAGGCCCGACCCGCCGGGCCAACGGTCCTCAAAACCCTCGCCCGTGATCGAACCGGAAAGTGCTTAGGGCCGGTTAATCGAACCGGCCCAGTCCCGCCGGTTCTCCGGCCTGCCCGACCCGTAGAATAATAATAACAAATAGACGCCCGTTGTCCAACCCGGCCCGGATCGGACCGCTGAGACAAAAAAAAATTGCGCCAACTGGACCGAACCGCGACTCTCACGGTCTGGTTAAACAAACCGGACCTTAGGTGATCGGTTCAGGACCGATTCTGGCTAGTCGGTACCGGTTTCAGTCCGGGTCCACGGGCCTGGTCGGCCCGTGGCCATGTCTACCATGTGCTCTTGAGGTTATATTTATGAAGCTATACCCAATGAAATAGACTTCTTCTTTCCCAACCATAGGATAGGGTCTCATTAGAAATTTTCTATGCCAACATACGATGAACTCATGAACCCATCCATCCAAAAATAAAACGGCGTTGTACACGTGGCACCTCGAGGTTACGTGTCCACTTCCCCTGAAATTGTGCATGCCGCTAATCACCCAAGAAACCCACAAAACAAATTGGCCTGCAAATTGATCACTGTAAAAAAGCATCACCTTTCTATAATATTTTCTCTTTTTTTTTCTTTCGTCATCGTTTATAGCATATATTGCCATCTTTGGATGTGGTTAGGTACACGAGCGAGCCATATTTTCCTGTAATTCAATGGCCCAGATCAAGAGTAACTGAGTAATCTCTCTCTCTCTCTCTCTCTCTCACACACACACACACACACACACACAAATACACACACATACACACACACATCAAACCAGTAGTTTGTGTTGTGCCCCTGAATCAAACCATAACTGCTAAAAAGTTGAGATTTTTTTATGTCAAATTTGCAATTGGGGATATTTATGAAACCTTACATTAATGTGAGGAAAAAGGGTTTTACTGATATTACGTTAATTGCTGATTCGAAATTCGTGATTGTTTTGCCCGGAAGTTGGATTGTGAATCCGTTAGAATATGTTTTTTGGCAAGGTTATATATACTCGCAATTCATCAAACACTTTGAGGGCATCTGAAAATGCAAGTGGCATGGCATCATCACCTTACTTGTTTCTGTACCAGAGCTTGTATAAAGATCTGCATTTGCCGGCCATTGCCATTGCCGGATGTTTCGTTTGTGTTGCTTTAGTTCTTTCTCTCCTCCTAACCTTCCAGCATCTCAGATGGTACACCAACCCCTCGGTTCGTATTTTAGCCGAAAAGTTATTAACTTTGATATGCTCAATCATTCATTCTTGTCCTAATGCTCTGGCCAAAATGTTTGGACTTGATTGCTAAAATTAACAAATGCTGGTTAGAAGGATTTTAGTTGGATTAAATGTTGACGATCATTTCCCGTTTCCAAAAAATTCGACCAGGAGCAAAAATGGATTGTTGCTGTTATCTTTATGGTTCCAGTGTATTCGGTCGAATCAGTAAGCATTATTTAAACGAGGCCTACTATCTCTTTCTATTTAAAAAATAAAAAAATTTAAACAGTATTTCTTTGTTCCAGATATTGTCCTTGTGGAATCCAAAATTATCCCTTGCTTGTGATATACTGAGAAATTGCTATGAAGCTTTTGCCCTTTATGCGTTCGGGAGCTACTTGGTTGCATGCCTTGGTAAGATTAGCATAATTCGGATGATTCTTAACATTAAGTAGCATGCAAATAAAAGGATGAGATTGAATTATAGTATAGTGTTTTTTTTCCCCCTATAGGAGGTGAGATGGAAGTTGTGAACATGCTTGAAAATGAGGCAAACAAGCGAATTAGGGAGCCGCTGTTAGAAGGGGAAAAGGCACCTCAGTCGAAGCGTAAAACTTTTCGTAACTTTATCTGCAAACCAAGCGTGCTCGGGAAGGACTTGTTCACGATTATAAGATTTGGTTTAGTACAATATGTAAATATCCCCTCGTGCTCTTAATTTAGTTCCGTTATTTCTACATTCTATTTTGGACGTTCTTACTTTTCGTACCTTCTTCTGGCAGATGATTTTGAAGACTGTATGTGCACTCTTGGCATTAGTCCTCGAGCTATTCGGCGTGTATGGTGATGGAGAATTTAAGTGGTACTATGGGTATGTATTTACAATTCGCTAAATAAAATCTTATTAAGTAATGTGGCGTATTATATCCTTTTTCTCCTTCCAAGAGGAATCACGGGACATAATGGTGGGCTTCTTTTCAATTGTAAATGAGTAATTTATTTTATTTTATATTCGTACTTGACGCATATTGAACTCAGAGTAAATTGCTAACTATGCAGGTACCCGTACATAACGATAGTTTTGAATTTTAGCCAGATGTGGGCACTGTATTGCTTAGTTCAGTTTTACAATGTGACTCACCAGAGACTCGAAGCAATAAAACCACTCGCAAAATTCATCAGCTTTAAGGCTATTGTATTTGCTACATGGTGGCAAGGGGTGGGCATCGTCTTATTGTGCACTTTCAAGGTTCTCCCGAAAGAGGGCAAATTCCAAACCGGACTTCAGGACTTTATGATTTGCATAGAGGTTGAAAATTGCACAAAATACACTTTATGGTGGTCGTTACTATCTCAACACTTCACACATCAACAATTCTTTTCACTATTTCGACGAAACTTCATACATCTCCAAAATATCAAGATTTGATATTTTGTTACTCATTTATCGATTCTTTGTACTATTAGGTGGGAGTACTTCAATAATTTTTTTTTTTTGGTCATGAACTGTTCGACAGATGGCTATTGCAGCCATTGCTCACATTTTCGTGTTCTCGGAAAAACCTTACCATTATGTTCCCGCATTACACGTCACCACACAAGAGACAACCGCCGTCGTCAATATAGAAGAAGGCAACAAAGAAAAGCCGGCACTGGTCGAGAAGAAAGAAACGGAGGTTGAGGCACCCGGGACGAATATCAAAGAAAGCGTACAAGATATTGTCGTTGAAGGAGGTCAAAAGGTAAGAATGATTTATTTTTCACTCTTTTCCATTGGCTCTTCAACCTCTAAAATTAAAAACCACTATAAGTTAATATGTTCTCATTAAGGAGAATCTGCATTTCAATAGATTACATGTGAAAATGTATAATTTTAAATGTTATTTTACATCATGATAATAGAATTGTGTACAATTTTGCGAACAGGTGGTGAAGGACGTTGTATTGACAATTAACCAGGCGATCGAGCCAGTGCAAGAGGGCATGACGAAAATACAGGAAACATTCCACCATATTTCGGTCTCTGACGACAACAAAGACGAGCCGGAACTCGAAGTTGAAGAGCACAAAGAGAGTATCACTAAGGAAAGCCAAGTGTAACTAATAAGGGAGAATCTCAAATGAGTAGAAAGTCAGGATCATTTTGCATGTTTTAAGTTAAAGGGATTATTGATTTTTTATTTGTGACCGTTGTACATATTTAGGAACTACACGCCGTTGTTTGTTCTTGATGTTACGTGTATATTCGATGATTTGATAGAGGAATAGTTGATGATGTTTCTCAAGTTGAACAGTGTGAACATGAATCCTGAATTAGAACACGTTCGTTTTGGTGCCTTTCTTGACATATCCAACGAGTTGAACTGGATCGGGTGGTTCACGGTTTTTTTGGCTCGTTGACCTGCAAACAGGAACTGTTGTCATAACTTGCATCGAAAATTTTCTAGTTGCGGTTTGGATGTTTTTGGTTTGAACTCTCGAAGTTGTTTGAATCATAGGTGCTCGAATATGTATCAACTTTAATTCTAAAGATATTTGAATATGTGACTAGTTGGGTTGCGCAGTAGAAACCACAACCTTTGCACAATTGCATTTGAATAGTAAAATTAAGTAGTAAAATTAAGGAAATGCTATGGGGGTGATTGGTAAGGAGGTAAAACAGATCAAAATTATCAGTTTTTTTTAGTCACTCTAATTCAATCTCACTATCTTCAATATTATCAATATAATTAAGTAACATCAATTATATCTCTTTTAAATTATATCAAATTTAATTCACTACTTATTGAATCACATTTTTTTTTTAATCATATATCTCCTACTCTTACTATCAACTTTAATCATCACATTACTATTATTTAATTATAATTTGTGTCGTCATACTCAATCAACTTTATTTAAAGTAACTCGATTTAACTTATGATTTAATTTTTTCGATTTAACCGATTTTGACTGTTTACCAATCTCTCTCTAAACTTGTAACAGACGACAAGAATACATGTTGTAGGGGTGAGCAAAATTGAGCTGAAATCGAAAAAATGAATCGAACCGTGCAATCGTGCGGTTCGATTCAGTTCCTTTTTTTAGTGTAAAATAATTTTGTTTTGGTTTCGGTTCGACTTTTTCCTACATTGTGGTGCGGTGCGATTATAGTTTTTCATAAGTTTGGATTTTCAGTTTTGTTTGGTTCGCTGCAATTTTACACTGAACTGCACCAAATTGAACAAAATGGGTAGAGAAACCGAGATAAAATTGAAAATCGAGCAGAACCGTGCATTTCGATGCGGTTCGATTTGATTATTTTAATGTAAAAAAAAAAATCGATTTGGTGTCTTACAAGTTACGGTGCAGTTCATTTATTTATTTATTTTTTGTAGTTTTGATTTTCGGCCTTTTGCGGTTTGGTGTGGTTTTCCCCAAACCGCACGGTTTCTCAGCCCTACATTTTGCTTATGTTACGGCAAAAAATTATAAAAATTTTCAACAAAATACAAACACTCATATTAGAATGTTCTAACAGCTACATTTAGGTTAAATAAGTTTTTTGTGATTTTGAAGGGTAGGGCAAAATGATCAAAATTAATAATAGTGTTCTGATATTAGTACAAAAACTGCAATCAATCAAAATGATTGAAAATGTAATATTTTTCAACTAGTACAACGTCCGTGTATTACACGGGTGCTTGTTAAAATTTACGAGGATCATATACAGGGGATAAGATTTACATGAACAAAAAGGGAAAAGAAAATACTTTTCAGCTGTAAAACAAAATATATATTTTTATTAATCAAGAAATATTAATAATTAATATTACTATTTTCATTGTCGAAAATAGAAAATCGTACCGTTTCGTTCGCCGCCGACTCCCGGCCGCCACTGTTATATCCTCACCTTACTATGCCGTCACCGGCGATTGGAATGCATCGGAAAACCACCTTGGCCGCGCTCCTTCCCTTTGGTTCACTCTTTCTTTAAACTTGAGCACAATTACACAGAAATAATGCTAACTATCAGATGTGCGAGGCAAACAAGAGCCTTCCTCCGCCCGCCAGCCGCCGCGTCCGCCACCGCCAACGCGAATAATACCACCGCCGCCGCCACGTTCTTCTACTCCTCACTGACGCACAGTTCTTATCCCTTTTCCCCATCGCATTCCCTGTCTCCTTCCTCCCCTAATTCAACGGCACCAGATGGATCTCAGCCCGAGGTGCATCCAAACGAAATTGTTTCATACTTCAGAGAATGGTTCATGTCCCGAAAGAAACCCCACTTCGACACCGTCTTCGAGATCCTCCGCACCCAGGAGGGGTCCGCCGCCGACTCAGCCCTTTCCCGATTGAATCTCAGGTTATCGGAAATCCTAATTCTCGATGTGTTGGATTATGGTAAGAAGGACGTCCTCTCCTGCTTGAAATTCTTCGACTGGGCCGGGCGGCAGCCGGGCTTCCACCACACGAGAACCACGTTCGATGCCATTTTCCGGATTATATCCAAAGCCAAGATGATGAACTTGATGCTGGAGTTTCTGCAGAACTATATGAAGCAGAAGTATGTTCACAAGATCAGGCATTACAACATATTGGTGATGGGTTATGCCGTGGCAGGTAAACCCGAGACTGCACTCCAGGTGTATGGCGAAATGCGGTTCCTAGGCGTGGACCTTGACGAGCTAGCTTACCATATCCTCCTGAACTCTTTCATCGATCATGGTTATTTTGATGCTGTGGAGACTGTAGCTCGCGAGATTAGACTTAGAGGCTTCCAGAATGAGATCACACATTCGATTATGATGAAGAGTTTCTGCAAGCGGAATGAGTTGGAGAGAGGTGAAGAGTATTTGCGCGCCCTTGCCCGTGATAATGCTGAGCAGTTGAGTGATACTTCTGTGGGTATCTTTGTGGATGCCCTGTGTAAGAATAATCAATTCAAGAGGGCTGAATTGTTGGTTTTGGATTTGCAGAAAATGGGTATAATCTCGCTTAATCATGCATATGGTGTATGGATTAAGGACCTTGTCAAGGCTGGAAAGCTGGATAGTGCTTTGGAAGTCTTGAAGGATAAGCAGGCTATCCAGGGTTTTGTTCCCGACATATTCAGTTACAACATGTTAATTTGCAGGCTTTTGAGGGAAAATGGAATATCGGAACTGTATGACATGTTGGTGGAAATGAGGGATCAGGAGATACTGCCTGATGATGTTACTATGAATGCTATCGTGTGCTTCTTGTGCAAGGTGGGGAGAACGGATATTGCAATGGATTTATACAATTCACGGGTCGAATTTGGCCTTTCGGTTAATTATATGGCTTATAATTATCTAACAAACACTCTACTGGGGGATGCCAGTGTTGATGAAGCTTGTCGTGTGTTGAGGAATTCAATGGAACAGGGCTATATACTCGGACAGAAAACATTTTCCAGAATTACTGATGCTCTATGCAGAGCTGGAAGGCTCGATAAGATGAAGGAGTTGGTTCGTTTTATGTTTGATCACAATATCATGCCCAATAATGCGACGTATGACAAGTTTATATCTGATTTTTGCCGAGCCGGAAGGGTCGAGGAAGGGTACGTGGTCCACGGCCTGATCAACTCACTGAATAAGCAATCCCGGAGGAGTTCTTATATTGACCTGATTAGTGGATTTAGTAAGTCGGGTAGAGGAAGTATTGCAGCTACATTACTCATTGAAATGCAAGAGAAGGGTTATTTACCAAGTAGGAAACTGGTGAGGGAAGTGATATGCTGCATATGTAAAGAAGATAATTCAAATAATCAATTTTTCGCATTGCTCGAGATGCATTTTGCTCGAAATCTGTTGCCTGCCTATGACGTTTACAAATTTTTCATTGATGGAGCTGGTCATGCAGGGAGACCAGAACTAGCTAGACAAGTATACGAAATGATGAGAAGAAGTGGTATTAAATCAGACATTAAGTCTAGCATCCTAGTGTTGCAGAGTTATCTGAAGAGCAGGAGAATTGCTGAGGCTTTGAATTTTTTCCGTGAATTGTCCACAAGATGGCATAAGAGGAGACTGTGGAACACTATGGTTATTGGTCTCTCCAAGGCCGACAAGCCTGAGCATGCATCGAAATTATTGGATGATATGAAGGCAAAAAAGTTGATACCCAGTGTCGATTGCTACGAGGGACTTATTAAGGTATATTGTGATTTGGGGCAATATCATAATGCTCTTGATCTTGTAAATGATATGACACAAATGGGCCGTCCCATTTCTTCCTTTATTGGAAATTTACTTCTGTCACATTCATTAAAAACCACGAAAATATACACAGCTTGGGCCTTTTTAAGCCGTAGCCAAAGTTTGTCGCCTGCATGTTGGACGTTGGGTCACATCATTGGTGTGTTTTCTGGTTCCATTGAAGGAGATTATGATTATGAGGGGTTGGAGCAACTGATTCAAGGATGCTTCCACATAAATATGAACACTAATAATATGCTCTTGCGAAAACTAAGCATGAAGGGAATAGACCATGCTTGTGAATTTTTCGACAGATTAGGTGAAAGAGGGTTTGAGCCCAATAGATGGACATATGATATAATTGTCCAAGGTTTAGTCAAAGATGGTCGGACTGAAGAGGCAAGGGTATTGTTGGAACGTATGTTACGTGAAGGGATTAACGTAGCTGAGAGTACCAGAAAAGTTTGTCCAAGTTGAAAGTGAAGTTGCTCTGATTTGGAGGAAGATGCGAAATGACAGGCAGATGCACGACTTCAAAAAATCTCGGTGAGTATGCCCCATTCTCATCGACATACAATCTTTTGTTTGGTGCATGCTATTTGTTTATCATGTCTGATAATCTTCATTATTAGTTCTGTGTTGGATTTAAAAGAATGAAAAATAACTTGGCTGATATTGATGTATGTGCTACTTTGTAGATCGTCAAATAGACCTGCGGTTTTAATTCGTCAGTCCGTTGGTGGCGACAAGCCCAACGATTCATTAATTTAAGTGAGATTCTTATGTAAGAAATCCTCTCACTAGAAGCAGCTTTGAAGTTCAGAGCCTGGTGTGGGGCCTGTTGTGAATGTAAGGAAAGGGTATAGCTACTTGTTGATGATATACTTCCAGAGATGAAATGGTACTTTTTTATTCTACCTATGTGTACAGTGTATATATCAATTGACAGCTTATGAAATGAGGAAGCACGGTTTTGACAGTTATTCGTTGTGGTTCGTTCATTTGCTCCATTTTTTATGGCTCGTGTTGATTGTGTGAGTGATGATTTATCAATGGATACAGGATACGGCCTCATTCTTGCAACAAGCTTGTGTAAGAAGTCTAAATGGTAAGAAATATTTAGGGTCAAAATTGATTGAATTGTATTTACACTTGCATTCTAATGATTCTGGAGCAAAAATGAGGCAACAAACTCAACCCTTTTTGGCTCGATTGAACTCAATTTCTTCATATGAATCTATTTCCTGTGAACATGAAACAGAATAGACAACTTGACTAGCTAAATTATATACCTAAAGAATTTAGCATCCTTTTACATGGATCAGTACATGTATATAACGATAGTATGATACAACATAACATGAGCAGAGTAGCTCATTACATGTATATATTTCGAAATCCCACCCGTCCACTCTCCAGTTCGAATTGGTATCGTGACCGACCAAAAATAAAGAGACCTATAAAGCCGTAACAAGGCAGATTATCTGCGAAGAACCTACCGTAACAATACTGACTACAGTAAAACAAAAAAAAAATGGAGAAAAATTAGAAGACCAATCACATTTCTCCTAAAACTTAATCTCGATGGTCAACCATATCAGGTCTGAAGTCATATTTGAGCAAATAAAATCTCATTCCACGTGTCGGGCACGCCTGGCAAACACCAGTGCAGGCAATCCTGCATCCCGGGCGTGGCCCGAATGCTGTAACGGGAAATATGACCTTCGTCTCTCAACTCAGACAAAGCAGTTATATCCAAAAGCCTGACGTTAGTCCCCCTGACGGCCCCAGAAGCAACAGGGTCGTTCGACTCATCATTTGAAACCTCCTTCCCTCCAGAAAGAGGGGTAGTATTATCACAAGTGCCCCCCGTATTCCAATCCCCGTTGAAAAAATGCCTAGGCGAAATCGAACGGAAAAAGGCTTTCAAACCGGGATACAAAGGCAGCTGCGAATCGACCCATTTCACGATACTGTGAAGGGTGAAATTTTTCGCACCTGCAATAGTTGCTATTCTCCTGTTCGTATTTGGGGCACCACCCACGTACATGACCCACTTGTTGGCATTGAGTTTCCCTCTATTCCAGTGGTGGCCACTGTTGAGAACAAGGACGTTGAATTTGTGAATAAATCGGGTTAAAAACGAAGGGGCCCGATCAAGGTGCATGGCGATTTCGGTATTTGGGTCTGAGGAATTGATAGGTTGTAAATCACACAGACTTGCGGACCAATAGTAGAGGATAGTAGTGTTGGTGCTAGGGAAGCGGTAGGCCCACCCGTCGGGCCTGGAGGAGCCGAGGGCTTTGACGAGCCCGTACTCAAGGCCCACATCAAGGATGTCGGGCCTTTCCTCTCCGCCAGTGACCATGCACATCAGGGATTGGAACTGTTGCCTGCCGAGCGAGTCCCCCACGAACGCAAGGGTTTTGTCCTGCATTCTGCAGTTGAGGAGGATTTTTATACGGAGAACTGAAGTACAATGAGAACAACAGTAATAATAGTGAGGCCTTGGTTCAGATGCATAATGAAAAATGCTAAAGCGCTTGTCGAGAATTATTCCGCTTGTGACTGAAACAAGTACATGTCAGAAACTGAGAACAGTTGACTGAAACAAGTACATGTCAGCAATTTTTTCTTTATTTCGATGAAGAGTTTGAAGTTGTGGACTTCGGATCCTTAAAATCAAATCCAATGTTTAGTTGGAAATATTTGTTTTATCAACTTTAATCCTTAAAATCGAATCCAAATGTTAGTTAAAGATATTTGTTTTGTAATTTATTACCGTGCGAGTTAATTTTCGGAGTCGTTTTGGAGGATATCAAAACTTATTTGGAGTCAATTTCAGATTCACCATAACAGTTCCAAAGAGAACATATGGACTTAGCAAACTCTAGTGATTTCAGCAAAACAAATATGAAAACATGGAAAGAAATTTAGAAGTACCTCAGCAGAAACTTGGAAGCGGTGAAGTCTTCCATTTTACATTCTTTCGGTTTCCAGCGTAGTTTTTCGTATTCAAAATCTGTGCGCTGTGTCAGACGACAGGCCCACATCGACGACAACCATTGCTTACAGCCAAATCCAGAATATAAAGGCCGGCTATCATCAACGACCCATTTACCTTTTGCATAATTACAATCTGAAATATTGAAAAAGGGTGAAGAAAATGTTGTGAATGATGTTTTCATCATTAAAATTCCGTAAGTACATGAAGTCACCTCTAAACAAACGTGGAATGTTAGACATACGGAAACTAAAATAATTGGAAACCCAAAAGGACATAATGTGAACTCAGGATTTTTTTAATACGTGGCTTCCTTTTGCCGGGACTTAAATGAACTAAGTGAGAGAATGTCTAATTTCATAATATAGTCAGGTGCATCAGGAGAAATGCAGCATGAATTGCTCATGCATATACATACCACCTCAGATCAGGTTTGTCTGCAGTATAAACATCGCGATTTGTTACTTCATAGAAATATCAAATCAACAAGCCAGAGTTGGATGTAACCTTTTTTTTCAGAGATAACAGAAGAGTTTCTTGTTTCCTCTTGTTTGAAAGATTTTATTGTTTCCTCCTGTTCGAAAGATTTCTCTGGTGCAGTTTCTGATTGCTTTGATTTTTTTTTACCACTAGGGTGTTCTTGCAATCCTGTCTTTTCTAGAACACTCGAAAGAACTTCTGCAGAAAGAGAACAGATACGTTATAAACTAAAACTTCATGAATCTGGTCTTGTAAGATGAAATCTCAGCATGGACAAGCCGGAAGAATAAGTTCTCGTATGTGACCTTGTTTCCCTGTGGCAGCTGGTAAGCTTCTAGTTTGCTCAACAGATGATTCTGGCACGATCTCTTCATGTTTATGATTATTTTTTCTTGGAGAGGCTTCTTTTGGCTGTGCACTTTCTATATTACTATCGGAATTATCTGCACCAGCAGAAGTTAAATAAAAAATAGAAGTCTCTACAATCAGATTTCCTATTGTAGTGTATTTGAGAATAATAAAAAATGGAAAGTGCAATTAGCACAAGAAAATGCTGATAAGAGCATCCACAATGCTTTTGGGTTCAACCACAAAAAAATATATGCCACCTAAGAAATAGACCCAATCCAAAAATATATATCCTCCAATGCATATAAAAGTAGACTCGGTCCTACTGATGTGGCAGCCAGAAAAAGAGACTCAGTCTACCTTAAGTCCATTTCAGACCCAAGTAGAGACCTAGTCTCTTTGCATTGGAGTGAATTTTATTAATTTTACATAGTTTTATCCATGTCATCTAAGACTTGAGGTTTATTTACGTGCCACATTGGCAAGACTAGACCCAATGCATTGTAAATGCTCTAAGACAATCTATAAAATAAAGACAAGCGTATACTCAGAGACAGGACCACAACAGATTCCAAAAACTACCAACCATAACTCTGTCCAAGTATTTAATTTTTAAGTTCAATGATGCTAATCACTAAAACAAGTAAAGCAAATTAAAAAAATTAGAACCACCAAGAAGACCACTAAACATTAAGAAATGATGGCAAATCTACCTACACAGAAGCCTGTGTAAGGAGCAAATTATTCATTGTTGCAACTGGCAAGCAAACAAAAGTTTTTTTTTTTTTTATTATTATTATTATTTACTTATTAATTTCTCCCTTCCCATACGTGTAAAATATAGTTCCCATTCCTTTGGAATGGGGGCAACATTTATTTTTCTCAAATGTATTCTTTCGGTTCTAATTTTCGATCTACAATGACCTCACGGCTCACACATCTTGGTCACACATAAATGGAAGTTAAGGATCTTAGCATAATGGATTTGAAAGAATACCTATGACGAAATAAATTACTGATGCAACAGAATTTTTCACAACCGTAATTAAAATTCAATCACTAATACGGTTTGGAGTAAAGTGACAATATAGCAAGATGAACACTACAATGTAAGTCGAGAAGCTGTCACTTTAAATTCTACATTAAATAAACATGCACGTATAGAAATCATGCTCGTCGGTAGTAAAAAAATTCAAAAAGAAAATACACGTGGAATCAGATTAGTAACACAAAGCACGAGAGGCAAACCTAAATGATCCAGTTGCAGCACACGACTCTGAGCAGAAGGGACAGATGAGGCCATTAGTATGGTCTTCTTCCATGTCAATGCAAGCACAGTGGCGCACACCAACCCGATAAGGATAAGGGAGACTTGCGAAACTTTTACTCCTTGAATGCCTCCTTTCATCCTCGATACTACCTTCGATTAAACAGATCAGAATCATCCAAGCTTCAAGATTTCACCTCCTTGGAACAATATCTGCAAACCATAAGAAAACTATCGTAAGCAATCCACGTTTCTAGTCTAAAAGCATCAAGATTGCACCTTTTTGGGCACAATATGTGCAGTGTTCTAAGTAGAATGAAAATTTATAATAAAATGGGGATCATGTCATGCCAATAATGGGAGATTAATTAGTCATGCTTTCTTTACCCTCAGTCTAATTTACAACAAAAAAGGAAATAAAATATTTTAATGACATCATGGAAGAATTGTTGATTTCTACATAAAATTACAACACCATTTCCCCTCACAAAATTCATACACACCTCACCAACCCATAAAAATCTTCACAACAGATGGTGGATTTCGTGATACTAACAAACAACGAAAGTAGTTATCATACTTCTTCATACACTAAAATCCCACATAATTCTTAAACAGTTTTGCTATGGAGCCATTGGATGGCACGACTAATTGAGCCATCACACTTATTTACAAATATTATAGTGACACGTGTGTTACAATAAATACACTTTGGACAGATCTTCATAAAAAAACCATCCGATGGCTCCATGGAATTCTTGATTCTTAAAACCCAAACCGGGAAACAAATAAAATCTTAATTCAGTAATTTAAGAAACATACAGTTAAAAAAAAATCAAAAATTCAAAAACAAAAAACACAACCCAAATCGAGCATGACAGGACCGAACCACCGCACACTCACGGCGTCGAACACCGAGTTTCACCGGAAAACAAACCTTAACAAGCCTCGGATCTCGCAGCAAGCACGCGGATTTTTCCCGAATCTCGCGCATAAAAATGGCCTCGTAGCCCGCACTAGCGCGTGACTTGCTCGCGAGAGAGACAGTTGTGGGTGTTTTAGGCTAAAAAAGATGGAATTGTAGAGATTGATTTGTGAATTCACCAGCGGCGACACAGGTGGAAATTAGGGCGGCTGTGTACGGCGGAGATGACGGTGGTGACAAAAGGGAGAATGAATGGCAGTAAAAATTGGTAAAAAGGAAAAATAGGGAATAAATCATTAAACTGTCTATTTGTGTAAATAAAATAAATTATTAGATATAGATGAGTGGAAAATGGCTCATTTTTTTGTTTAATCACTTGTCATTAATCGTTAAGAGATAAGTAATCTTGTACAATGTACACAATAAAATGCCTTCTTTCTTTTTACATGTATAAAAATTAGGGAGATGCTACCATCCCGTTACGGTACTATCCCGTCGGTTGTTTTAACCGTTAGATCTACGTGTAGTTAGATAAGATCGATGATCCAACGGTTAAAACACCCGACGGGATGGTACCGTAATGGGATGGTAGCATTTCCCTAAAAATTATACTATAAATGATAGATCATGCATCCAAATTCCTACCAACCCACTATATTTTGAAATAATTTCTAACTAATACAACACGCATATGTTATTAGACTATCCTTATTCGTAACCCAACCTAACTCAACCTAATCATAAAAAAATATTTCTCTCTTCTCCACATACATAACTAAATCTTCCAACCTAATTAATCTTTATCCCCAACCCAACTCAACCTAAATAATTATTTTATTTTAATTTATTTAAAAAATTATAATTTTATTCCAAAATATATCGAGTGTGGTCTCTATTTGTAGAGAATGAAAAAATACGAATTTTAATATTTTTTTTTTATTTTTTTAAACAAACAAAAAATACACTTATTCAATCAAAATGGGACAAGTGTCCCATACTCGTACAAAATACAAGTTCCGACCTAAGGTCACATTGTGACCTGGGTCGCTATACTTGATGACCTTCTTCATTTTTTTATTATTATTTTTTTCCGTGTAGTGGGGGTGACCCAACAACTGGGTCACCGATTAAATAAGCCTTATACAAGAGTTTATTTAAAAAAAAATATTAAATTTTAAAATTAAAAAAAAAAAATTATTTTAAATTTTATTTATATTTTTAAGAAAAGTATATATTATTATATATTTTAGACGAATAACATTTGTTATTTGTGTGACTTACATGTGTTATATATTATTTGATAAATAATTTTATTTTTCTAATTAATATTAAAAAATAATTTTATTATTGTTATAAAGATAAATATAATTTATTTTATTATACATACAATATGAATGTTAAATCGAAACTCATCAAAAGATGACTAATTTGATATATTATATATTTAAAACTGATAAAAACTGGCTTTTAGCTTGAAATCGAGTGCTGGCAAAAAGAAAGATGTAGCGCCCCGTTTGAATATTAGATTTTTCTGAGTTTATTTTAATTAATGGCACTTTACTTTATTAATTATATTCCTTGATTATATGATTATATATGCAATCATTATGTGGATAATATAATTATATAACTCGTTCAATTTTTATTTTGTGGAACGCCGTTTGAATTTTGGTTTAATCGCGTGAACCGAATTGTTGTTCGTTTTAATTCGTTTTCGAACTCTAGCCTATTCAGGGTTTTAGACGCGGTTCATGCATGGTAATAAGAGCTTAATAAGTATTTTCTAAGCCTAAGTAAGTTTTGGAAGCATTATCAATAGTTAAAGCTTTTGTAGCTTCACTTTGCGCAATTTATTGTCGGGGGTAATAAGAACCGAGTCATTCACGTTTCTCTAACCAATGGTTCAAACCATGGTTCTTTTATCTCAGATCCAAGACCATGCAAATGAAATCAGGTGGATTAAGAGTCATATGAGCTATTTTAGTCCATACAAAGGTGAAAGGGAGTCAACTAACTTGGCATTTAGTAGAAATGTGCTAGGTTATCATTATATTGCATGTGCTAGTCTTGTTTTTACATTAGAGGTGTAAGATCCTTGTCCCCCATGTTTCTTGATGTCAAAAATCAGAGTATCTTAAGCCTTACCAATCAAAACTCGGCCATGTGCTCAAGTTTCACATGCACATAAGAGTTAGAGAGATTCCCTTACACATGCACCTAAGATTCTTCATTATTTGTCCCTTTTTCATGACCTAAGAGTCAACACCCATGTGAAGCCTTTACTTAAGATAAATACTCAGCTGACTAAGCCACATTTAAACCTTATAATTTTCGTGCATCATCACCCCATAGTCCTCTCCAGAGTCTTAGAAGCAATATCAAGTCCAAGAGCAACTTAGAGCCTTTGCCGAGAAGAACTTCAACCTAGTTTCATCTAGTTTTTCTTGAAGACTAGAAGAGGATAGTATGCTAAATCCTTTTAGAATAATGTAGTGGAGTTAATGTGTTATTATGTGTGTTAGAGTATGACTAAGTTTCATTTTATATGAGGATATATCCATGGTGAAGGGAGATCATGTAGTAATTGACTTATATTTTGATTTTTACTGCCTCTGTTGTATTGCTGCAAATGGTATGAAATACTCATTTTATGAAGTTGTGTTCTTCATATAATATGTAGATTTTTTTGTTGTGGTTCTGTGAGTTTTGAAATTTTAAAAATCCGAGTTTAATTAGAGAGATATGATTTTTAAAAAATTAAAGCGCGAGCAGTTTAACAAAAATCCGGCAGCAAGTTTATGTTGAATGTTTTACTTGTTTGTTGCATCCTAATGTGCTTAAATAAAAATATGATCTTCATGAATGTTATAGGTCTCTTTCTAAGCTTTTTGATGAGGTACAATTCATGTTGATATGATTTCTGTAGCTCGGTTTGTGTTAGATAGAAGTAGGATAAGCATGGGTGAGTTATACTTTTAGACAACAATATGGTTCTAAATGTTAATTGATTTTACTCCTCTGTAATGACCTTATCTACCTTAGAATTCTAAATGAAAGTTGTAGAACTGTCTCTTAGGTTTCTAACAAGGTAAGAAGAATATCAATATGATAAGTGTAGCATGAGATGCAATTTTTGTGAAAATGTTATGCAAGCAGTTTTTAAAAAACCAGGCTGAGTATATGATATTGATGTTTGGTCTGAAAGTGATGTTCTAATATGCTTAAACTGAAATGTGTTCTTCACGAATTGTGTAGTGCTTTGAGTTAGGTCTCTGTGAGTTTTGGAATTTCATGATTCGGAGTTGAATTGAATTTATTATGAATTTTTGAAGTTGAAACTGCAAGCAGTTTTTGAAATTTCAGGCATAATTGAGAATCATGATGTTGGGCTGTTTTTGACAATCTTAATGTGACTATGTGAAAACATGATCAACATGAAAGTTGTGTATATATGTGTTAGCTTCTTGTTAGTTTTGGAATCACTTGAATAGCAAACTTGTAGCTCATGTTACCTTGGAAATATTGAGACCATGCGAGTTGTTCATTCCCATTTTTTTGTCTACAATTATGTTATGTGTCATTTTTGAAGTATGTGGCTAATTTATATCACATGAGTATAGTTAAGTGATTGTGTGTTGGATAGGCTTTCATAGGACTATTTTGTGTAATGTAGGTGTGTGACGAGCTGTGTCTCGGCCTACCTTTTTCCTCGAATTTCTGTGATTTCATCCTCCAGATACCAGGTGGGTCTTATTTAAATCGTCTATACCATGAATGATAAGTGTTTATTTTTGTGAGTATGATCTATGCATGTACATGAATTATGTAACCTATCGATGTGAGCTGTTACGGCTGTCGGTACAGTTATCCCCGTCGATGTAATACGGTTGCCCTTGTGAGGCAAGTTTCCTTAAGTCCTGATATGGTCGTTCCCTTGTGAGGTACGTAAGCCCATATGAAAGGTCGTGTCCGTAGCGTGGCATGTACTCCCGCCTTCGGGTAATGAATCCTCGTTCTGCGGCTAGCGATAGATGTGCACATGAGTAATGTGGTTGTTGTGATCGAGATATGATATGATTATTTTATTTTCATGCTGCGACCATACTATTTTGACATGTCATCATTTATGTGCATAGTAGTGAACACTACGTTTATTTTGTGCTCACTCCCACCTGCTCTTCACGGATGCAGGTTAAGCAGGTGCCGGATGACGGGG